TAATTTTGCTACTGTTATAAATCGTAATGTAAATATCTGATATGCAGGATGTATTTTCAGGGGTCGCGACCCACAGGTTGAGAACTATTGGCATGGATGGACCTAGAGAGCATTATGCTAAGTGAAATAAGCCAGTAGGAGAAAAATAAATATCACATGATCTCACTCATTTGTGGATTATAATGAACAACATAAAAAGATGAGCAAAAATAGAGCCAGAGGCATAGATGCAATGAACAGACTATCCAACTGAAGAGGGAAAGTAGGGGAAGCAGGGAGGGTAAGAGATCAACCAAAGGACTTATATGCATGCATATGAGCATAACCAATTGACACAGACAGTAGGGGGGTGAAGGCATGTGCTGGGAGGTGAGAGCAGCCAGGGAGAAGTCAATGGGGGTAATAGGAAAGTTATGTAATACCTTAAACAATAAAGAATTTTTTTAAAAAGACACAATCTGGATTTGTTTCCTGAGAAACTGTGCCCTACAACATACTCCATCAAATGTCTGGCATCTACTCCATAGACTATCCTCATCCTTGTATGTCTTATTGAGTGGGGTCACAGATGTGCCTTTGAGATTCTAACTACAGCTACTGACAAACTAATCTTTTCTGTATTACTATAAAATCAAGAGAAATAGAAGATACTCAAATATTCCCTATTTTTGGTAGTTAAAATAAACACCATTATTTCAAATGCTCTGCACAGAGATGCTAACATATTAATCACTGATTGAATGAGGAGTTTGCGAGAGGAACCAAGGGTAAAGTTTCTAGATGGTGATAATGATTAAAGACTTTCAACATGTTCCTTTTAGACAAATAACCCAGTAATTCTGAGAACTGATTGTTACAGATGCTAGAACCATGGCTCCTAAAAGGTGAAAAATATTTGGAGAATCTTCCTTCAAGGGAAGACTCTTCACTAATTGTGGCCTGAGCCTCAAGCTAACCCAAATGCCATGGACTTATACTGGCTTTGTCCCCTCCAATTGGCCCATGAACCCCGGCTGCAGCCATTTCAGAAGCCCGTGATTGCAATAGACACCAGAAAGAAACTCCTTTGGGGATTTCTATAGCTGTCCCTATATGTGTATGTGACAACCTTATCACCAAGAAGAGAATCCAGGCTGTGGGGGAAGAAGCATGAAGACACCAGGAGACCTAGGCTCCCTCTGCTAACCAGCTGCTTATTTGGAGTCTCTGTATCTCCTTTCACACTGAAGAATTGTGATATTATGATACTACAAACTTGAGAGAAGAAAGTATTTTGTCCATTGTACTTGTGGATGAGCTGAAGTGCAGAGAGGTAAATGGCATATAGCTGGTAAAAGTGGTAGCTCCCGTGGCAAGTGGCAAATCCAGCTCTGCTGACTGCCAGTCCAGTGTTCTTTCTACAGTCTCATAGGAAAGGACTACACAAAGGCAGCTTGTGAGGCATGTTTCCATTGGCCAATGTGTTTTTAAAAGTTTAAAGCTGAATGCACTTTTCATTTGCACAGGCCCATCGCTCCTGTATCATGCCCACTGTATCCTCATTTCCATGACTGCCTAGCCCTGAGTTGTAATGCTGTTACAGAAACAAATATTCATACATGATTTATTTAATCTCACTAGATTTTAGTACTTTATTAGATATATATATTTTTTGTTTTGTCACTTCTCAATGTTCAGCTAGTTAATCTGCACCAAGATAATTACAAATAAACACACTGACTTTTAAAAAATAAAACAACTGGCCTTGTGGTGAGAGATTATCTTTGGGGGCATGGTATACTCTATTAAACATGATCAGAATCTGGTAGCATACCAACCTTTCATCATTCTAAGTCTATTCATCTAAAATCTTACTTCTCAAATGCCATCATTTGTAATATTTAGCCAAATAATATGGACAGAAACACATAGAAGACTTTTAGAGACGATGTCCTTCACCCATTCTCCAGAGTCACAAAGGTGCGGCTCTGTCAATGCCCACACTGTTCCAGGAACAGAAAGTGATCACTCATACCTCTGGGTTGAGACTGAAAGCTTTTGCTGGCTTTCCCACACAAAGAAAATCAAAAATGATTTCTTTCATTGCAAAATCTAAACGTTCCTGTAGTGAAAAAGAGAAAACAAAACAAGTGAAAAAGTGTTAAGATACAAATTAAACATGAAATATCTACTTTCTTCACATGTACCAAACAGGTGGCTACTAAGAGTAGAATCTGGCTCAGTGCCACGGGTCACTCCCTGAGGAAGAACATGCCCACTGAATCTGGAGCTGCTTCTGTTTTTGTGTAATGCACAGGGATGCTCTCATTATAATGCAATTATGAGCAATTATATGTAATATATACAATTATTCCCCAAAGCACAGAATGACTAATAACCCAAAAACAACAACAGAAAAATAAAAACACTTGAAGTCTCTGGGCTTATATGCAGGCTCAACTTTTCCTGCTTATTTTGCAAATGCTGACACCTTCTTGAAATTCAGTTTAAAATGTATTATTTCAAAGCCACTGCAAAATGAGCATTTTCTTCTATTCTCTAGCATTTCAAATTCTTTGGCTCATATTACAACAGATAATTCTACAAGTGAAATGAATGATCAACAAATAAGATACTTAAGGTTACTTAAGTATGTCAAGGTTACTTAAATGAGAAGGTTGAAGCCAGATTCTAATAATTTGGGACAGTGGCTATGAAGATATGACAGATTTATTTTATAAAACCTATTGCAGCCAGAACCAGTTTGGCTCAGTGGATAGAGCGTCGGCCTGTGGACTCAAGGGTCCCGGTTTCGATTCCGGTCAAGGGCATGTACCGTGGTTGCGGGCACATCCCCAGTGGGGGGCGTGCAGAAGGCAGCTGATCGATGTTTCTCTCTCATCGATGTTTCTAACTCTCTATCCCTCTCCCTTCCTCTCTGTAAAAAATCAAAAAATATATTAAAAAAAAAAAAACCTATTCCAGAATAATTGAAGCCTATCCTCAGCCACATGATAACTACATGCAGAAAGGTTACATTAATTCACCTGCCTGCCAAGTAAGTAATGTCCTTTCCCTAAGTACAAATATTATAGAGGCATTTCAATGTGCCAATCACACAGAGAGATATATTAAACTAGAGGCCCGATGCACAAAATTCATGCAAGCGTAGGCCTTCCTCCCCCCCTTCCCCCATCCCCCAGCCGCTGGCACCAGCTTCCCTCAGGCACCTGGGACCCGGGCTAACTTCCCTCTGGCTGCCCGCAGGCACCTGGGACTGGGCTAGCTTCCCTCTGGCCCCGGCTTTGTCTGGAAGTACGTCTGGTCTAATTAGCATATTACCCTTTTATTATTATAGATAGTAACAATTAAACCTATGTCTTTATATCAATGTCAATTGTGTTTCAACAGTATTTTCATACCTATTTTTTCCCTTTATCCACTCAACATTCTAGGTATAATAGGCAAGTATTTTCACTCACATTTTACAGATACAGAAACTGAGAAAAAAAGATGTTCTCTGACTTGTTCAGGGGTAAAGAGCTGGCTCGAGGCACAGACTGGGCTAGAATAACTGTCTTTTCATATTCCTTTGTAAATCACAAAGTTGGAGTAAAACTTCGTGATTTACTCACAAAGTGAATTATAAAGTAAAAATCTTAGGTCTAAATAGTAAATTAAACACTAAAAACTATGTTTAATATTATTGGTGCCAGTTTTTAAGTAATTTAATACATGTAAAATACTGAGAACTGTTCTTAGCAAAGAGTGAGTGCTTGATAAATGCTAATATTCCTATTATATTCTTCTTTTTCACAGAATGAAAGATTCAGCATTATTCTTTACTCATCAAATTTCACTAAATTATCTTCTTTTGGTTTCCTCCAAACATCAGACTCTTTTGTTTCCTCCTGATTTGCATAATCCAGAGCAGAGAATCATGGGGAAAAAAAGCCAGAGACTGAGTTAAGAGACACCTTTACTAACATGCTCTAGGACCTTAGGTGAATCACTTAAACTCTGTCTCTGTTCCTTCATTTGTCACATGCTGAAAGCACTCTACATTCCCATGTCACAATTTGTTTTGAAGCAAAAGTCACCAGCTATGTGTGAAAACACTTATAAACCCATTCTGAAAAGTCAATACATGTGAGCTATTTTAGACACCTCATCTGTTAGTACATCCTAAGAAGGAGACTGGCTACTTAAAGATAATGAGAAGACTCACTCCAGAAGCTTGTCCATTACCTGGGCAATGAATTGAATAATTTTCACAAAGATGTTCAGAGGCATATCCCTTGGCACCACACCACGAGACCCTTTGGGGAATAGTGTTGTGACGATGGTGATAAGGCGGCTGAAAGAGGAGGGAAGACAGAGAAAACAAGATTGGCTGAGCTCCAGTTCTTCAAGGGAAAATAGCAGATGTTTCACCTTATCTTAGTATTAGACAAGATTCAGAAAAAGAAAACAAACCACTTTATCCCTTTCCATTAGCATAATTTCTCTATGAAAAGTGTTTCTGGAAAAACTAAGGACAGTTGGAAAATTGTAGCCATTTCTTTTTTAATGTGACAAATACATTCCTGGACATGGAACTTGGCTGTCCCGGTTGAGACTGCAGTTTCTGTCACGGCTGCTGAGCTAATAACTAAGGACTTAGATCTTGCAGGAACTGTCAGCTTCCAATTGGGTTAGTGTAGGTAGTAATAAAACAAAACATCCTCTCACTGGCTGAGGGATGCGGCTATCATGAACTCAGTGATGTGATTACCGTTAACCCAGGGCAGCTCCTTACCTCTGAGTAGCTGTGTTGCTTTCACATTTAATTCGAATCATGTAAACCCAAAGTAATCTGTACAGAGATTCCAGTGCAACTCGAGCCATCTTGGGGTCTTTATTCTACAACAGAAACCAAGATGTAAGATTGCAGAGTAAATGGTGACATATGAAGATTATTATTTTCTCAATGCCTGGAAATGAAGGGCCCCTACAAGGGACACCGCATAATCGGGGACTTGTGGGGTTTTTGCCTCTTGGTGTCCATTGGGTAAATCATCTATGAGGAGGGATCCAAATAGCCTAGAGGGTAGGAAAGAGTAGTTCTGGGGGAAAGCATGTCATTCCCTCCTTTGCCAAATAAAAACTTGAGATTGCCTTTTTTTTCTCCAGTACCAGGGAGCTCATTCTCCCAGCACCAAGAGGAGAACCAATCTATTCTTTCTATTGCTGTTATGCCCTTGTCAACATTATTATTGCTTTTATTCCTCAAACCCCAACCCCATCCAATTAGCCTTAAACATTTATTGAAGCTAATATACAGTCAGGCACTGTGCTAGAACCTGGGAGGTAGATATAAAAGATCCTTTTCCTGATGTATTCCCAATCTATAGGAGCTGGGAGACAGATAATAAAGCAATCAACAAGATCTAAGACAGTGTGAAAAGCTGATAGGGATAGGAGTTAGAGGAAGAGAAGGGGAACCTGTGGTAAACTCAAGGACCGAGGTCAGGAACAGTTCTCATGGGTGGCCTGAAACTCAAGTGAAATTTAATCCATTTACCTACTCAGGGCCAGTTACTGTACTTGGCACTAGAAATATTGAATGGCATAAAAAGTAATGGAAGCCTGGCCAGAGTGGCTCAGTGGCCAGGAGATCACAGTTCAATTCCTGGCCAGGGCACATGCCCGAGTTGCGGGCTTGATCCCCATTGCAGGGGAGGGTGTGCAGGAGGCAGCCGATCAATGATTCTCTCTCATCATTGATGTTACTATCTCTCCTCCTCCCTTCCTCTCTGAAATTAATAAAAATATATTTTAAAAAAATAATGGGAAGGGAGAATACTTTAGGCAGAGGCAACAGCACATGGAAGCTAGGAGAGCTATGCCAGTGCATGGGAACAAGTGAGGGAGCAGTGGTCAGTGAGGCTCAAGAGGAAGGCAGGAGTCACACGAGGGATCCTACATGCCATACTAAGTAAGGGAACAGAGTTCTCATGATGATAACAGGAAGCCACTACAATTGAGGAGACATGTAAGAAGTCCTGTCTGCTGTGTAGGAAACAGAAACAAGGCAAGGAAACCAGCTATAGCACAGCTAGCAGCTTTCAGGCAATAACACATCAGCCAGAGAGGAGGAAACTGAGCCCCTCTGTGCTCTCCTATCTTATTATATTCCTTTCTATTTAAAAAACGTAGATTAAGTGGTTCCCAGTGCCTATGGTATCAAGTTAACACTTCTTGACATGGTATACATGACTAGCCAATATGTGGCTCTAACCTACCTTTCCTACCTCCCTCCTGTATTCTCCCACAAGCTCCCTAAACCTTAGGTAGGCTATATTCATCCATTTCCATTTCAGGAGATGGCTTCCCTACTCCCACACCTGAGTCCTTCCTTTCTATCAGATGAACCCTACCTCTGTATAGTCTACTTGTGCAGGCTTTCTGTTTTACCTCAGTGTCCTGAAACCCATCCCATTAAAACTGTTCCCTCCTGAGTATCCCCTGACGAGCAAACCTCTAGTAGAGCCCTTCAACTTCATGTTTAGATATCTGGGAAAAGGGGCATTTTTACCCTGGACATCTACTGGCATTCCGGCCATTTTTCAGGGGATTGATACATTTGCTAAACAGTCTTTAAATATCCCTCAACTTCTTATAGGTCTTTGCTTTTACGTTACTACTGTTTCCTTATCCCTCCATTTATCTTGTCATAATTCTTTTAGCTGTTTTATTCTTTTTTAAAAATATATTTCTTTATTAATTTTAGAAAGGAAGGGAGAGAGATAGAAACATCAATCATGAGAGAGAACCACTGATCAGCTGCCTCCTACATGCCCCCTACTGGGGATCAAGCCTGCAACCCCGGGCCAGAATCAAACCTGGGACCCTTTAGTCTACAGGCCGATGCTCTAGCCCAGTGATGGCGAACCTATGGCGAACTTGTGTGAACTTCCCTCTATTGATATATAAGTATTTTATATGTGTTTTGTATATCATTCAGAATTCTCTCCTATGCCTTATTGCACCTCTGACACGCAAACTCATTTTTTTGGTTGATTTTTGTTAAATGGCATTTAAATATATGAAATAAATATCAAAAATATAAGTCTTTGTTTTACTATGGTTGCAAATATCAAAAAATTTCTATATGTGACATGGCACCAGAGTTAAGTTAGGGTTTTTCAAAATGCTGACACACCGAGCTCAAAAGGTTCGCCACACTGCTCTAGCTACTGAGCCAAGCTGGCTAAGGCTAGTGGTTTTATTCTTAGGGCAGATAATTCAGGCACTGATTTTTTGTAGAATTCATAATTATTTAAAAGTTAAAATAAAATTTATCTTTAAACTATTTACTAAATAAAGATGAATCAGGTAAAGATTGGAACGAGTATAGGGAGTAGTTTTTAAGATTTAGAAAAGATAGTTCTTATGTCTATATAGTCTTAAAATAACTTTTTAGTGTGATCACTATTATAAGATTCTAAGTTTCTATATGCATTTTGCTCTACCTCTGGGTTCTTTTTAGTTCTATTAGTCTGTCTATTAATGTGGTAATATCATACCATTGTAAATTTTGAGGTTTATAATGTGTTCTATTATCTGGTATGGCTTAGTCTTCCACTATCCACTGCTTTATTTTTCTTTTAATTTTATTTTTAGGCTTGACCAAGATATTCCTCTATATTTATTCTTCCAAATACACTTTACAAGTACTTTTCTATCTCCAGGAGAAAAAAGTCTCATTTTTTTAGATGCATGCTTTCTACATAAACGATGATCTTTTTTTTTTTTTTTTGCCTGTAATTAAAACAGGTATGGTATACTTTGTAATTTGTCAAATGTTTTGGTGACATAAACAAACTTTAAATAAACTATCAAACTACTAAAGTTGCATTTGAAATACGCCATCATTTAAAAAGTTTAGAAATTCTAATTATCCTTCCTCCAATCAGTGCAAAGCAGTCAACATGTATGAGGTGCTTACCTAGCAGTTAAAAACAGACTCTTAGACACACACTGCCTGCATTTGAATATTCCCCACTCTGCAATTTATTAGCAGTGTGGCCAACTTCAAGGAAGCTCCTAATTTCTCTGGGCCTGATTTCCTACATGGAATGCAGACAAGAATTCCATCTGCCTCACAGGAGTGGTATGAGAATTAAACGAATTAATGCACATAAGGTATTGAGCACTGTTCTTGACCACAGTAAAGATTATTATGTACAAGGCACCAGGGCCCAGCAGCAAAGAGGGAGGTGTAGGCCCTGATTTCTGGGAGCTTCCATTCTAGTGGAAATGTCTTCTCTGTTGTGAACTTCCCTCTATTGATATATAAGTATTTTATATGTGTTTTGTATATCATTCAGAATTCTCTCCTATGCCTTATCGCATATTGTGAATCATGATGGGGTAGGAAAAATATCATCGAAGTTCTACTGGAGAGCCTAACTGGCATCTCCTGTTTAAACAACTTTCTGTCTTCTGTTTAACCTCAACTTCCTTTATACTATATTCCTGCCCCCCTTCCTCACAGTTATCTTTTGGCGTGTCTTCTTGTGACCAATGTTATTTCACTATTATGAATATGTGAAATATATGAAATAGATGGTCTATTTTTGCTCCCATAAAGACTGAAGAGCAAAGTGGTAGACTTAAGGTTTTATTCTGTTTTACAAATGGATCCTGTACTGGTAACTAATATTTTAGCATTTCAAGATGATATCATTGATGGCTCTGACTGCCCCCCTAAAGTGGTTTCCTTGCCTATTTCCCATTCTTGGTACTGTCAAATGATATCCTTAAACCACAGACATGGTTGTTGACTTTCCTGCATTTAAAGTCCTTAAGTAGCTTCTAATTACCTCCTGGACAATGTTCAAATTCTACAGGGCCTTTGGTGACCTGATTCCCCCAAGACCACCCTTGCCTTTACCTCGGGCTGGTGCACCCTGTTCTGTACTATCCCTTCTACAACTCCCTGAGTGCCTGGAGTGCCTTCCTATCCTGGTCTACTTGGAACATTCTATCTCTCTGGCAAGACTCAGTGAGGTGTGGCTCCCTCTGTTATGTTTCCCTATCCCTCTACTCTCTCCTCCCCAGAAAGACTGCCAAGTGCCCCTGCTTTCTGGCTTCTAGAATGTTGGTCTATCCCTTCACTTTTCTGTGAGGTCTAGACTGTGAGCTCCAGGGACTCTGAGTTGCTCATCATTGGGTTCCCAGTGATTGCCATAGACCAGATTATTAATAAATATTGAATTTTAAAAAGCAAATTGTGAGTAGTAGCTAAAGCAAAATTTGAGGCATAAGCAAGACTTCTTTCTATAGAGCCTATGCAGAGGCAACCCTTGGTGTGTGGCCAAAGCTAACTTACGTGATGCTAGAGGCCTGGTGCACGGATTCGTGCACTGGTGGGGGGTCCCTCAGCCTGGCCTGCAGAGATTGGCCAAAATTGGCAGTCCAACATCCCCCAAGGGATGTAGTAGTGCTCAAAGCGATAGGCGACCGGGGAGGAGCCTGAGCCTGGGCTGGGCGCCATGCAGCTCCCACTCATCCTGGCTCCGCTGTACCTGCTGCTGCTGCCACTTGGTAGGCTAGCTGCCGCTTTGCTGTGGTCTCTGTGTGCCCATCCTAGGGCGATACCGGTGCGCCCATGACTGAGAAGTGGCTGCGGGCTTGTGCCCAGTCAGTCCCGATTCCAGTCCCAATTACAGTCCCGGTCTGGATGGGGGAGGGGTGCGCAGGGGGAGTGTCCGCAGGAGAGGCTCAGGCCACCGCAGCTGTGCTCGCCAGCCATGAGCCCAGCGTCTGGTGCCTGTTGATCAGCTGAGTGGTGCTCCCGCTGTGGGAGTGCACTGACCACCAGGGGGTACCTCCTGCATTGAGTGTCTGCCCCCTGG